TCTCCAAATTAAACATTCAGTTTGAATCTTATATTTTAAAGGCTGAATCTTATATTGTCAGAGCTAGGAATATTGGCTAGGATCCTCTTAGATATTGTAAACCTTTAGCTTGTAAACATGTTTCAATTGGCCACTGAATAATAATAAAGTAATCAAATTGGTCGGAATTCTGTATCACATACAAGCTAAGTAGGATTAACATGCAATTCAGCCTTTAAAATACAATGCAAACTCTTGTTTATTATTTCTCTAAAGTTAAGAGATCTTCAAAGGTGCAGATGAATTGTACATTGAGTTGTTTTGGGGCAATTGGGGCCCATTCCAAAAGTGTTGGAATGCTTTACCAGAATAGCACAGGATGAGATACTTTGTGTGTAACATCCTCCTCCTGCCCCTGGTAATTATATTACCTGTATTGACTGCTAAAGAAAGGCTGCCTTAGCTTTTTTTTCTGGTCTCAAATTGCAGGACTCCTATATCATATAAAACAGGTGTGGTGGCTCAGTGGCCTAAAAGACTCTGGAGAAGGTCTATACTCCAGCAGTTTGATACCGCCCCCCAGTGAGCTCCCATCACTTACCTCAGTTCCTGCCAATCTAGCAGTTTGAAAGCATGTAAATGCAAGTCGATAAATAGGTACCACTTCAGTGCAAAGGTAACAGCACCCCTTGTTTTCCGCATGCTCTGTGCTGCGTGATGTCATGACCATGGAAACATCTTTGGACAGTATTGGCTCAGTGGTCTAGAAACGGAGATGAGTGCTACCCCCTAAAGTTAGCTACTATAGCAGAGTAAAACCCACAGGGACTCCTTTATTTTATATCTTACAAAGCTCTCTATGCAAACTGCTAAGCCATGAAAGCAGAGAGGCAGCACGTAAGCCTTTAGGTCTGTAAGGGTCCTTGTGTGTTTAAACAGCAGAGTGTGCAGCTCATTTATCAAAGACAGTTTAAGAAACACTTTCTTGGGAAGAACTAAATATGATTTGTTTGAATTTGAACATGATTTGTAAAATACTTGAAATATTAAAGTTGGTGAAGAGTGGCGTGAAAGGGATTTGTTAAAATGTCTGAACAAATTGAGACAATTGCATAAAATAAAGCAGGCAAAAAACCATTAAAATAATAAAACATTCTTCTAGCTTTTTGTGGTTGCTTTAACTTCAAGGTCTATTTAAGTAACTGTGGTTTCTCAGGCATTTTAAGCTGGGTGGTGTTATTTTTGCATATACTGCATTATTATTATAGTTTAAGGTAGTTTCTCATCATTTTTTCCTTTCAGATTGTGGATCCCAATTGTGATCTCTAAGCAAGAACTATACATAAGCCCCTTTCCTATCTTGTAAAAGTCCGCCCATTGATCACATTGCTCTAAATGTCTCTGTTCATGCTTCACTGCTTTTTGCCATACATACACAGTAATGGAGCAGTAAAGAATAATTATTGTAACTACATGAGAAAAGGAGATGGAAAGGAGCCATTTCCACTAATATTTACCAGGTATCCCTCCAGGAAACAAGGCAAATTGAAGCAATTTATGTAATTTGTTGTCAAGGATTTGCTTTTTTGTGCCTGGGGGCCCACAAGAAACATGCTTAGTGATGTCATTATGTCACTAGAGCAACTAAGATCAAAATGTTTCTTATTTTTTTTTTTGGGGGGGGGGTTAAAGAAACTTAAAAGTGTAGAATGAGTATCTCAAGCCATTTTGCCCCTAAAACATCCCAATGGAAAAATTAAGATTTGCAAAATAAAGTAGACAAGATGTCAAAGGTATCTTATGGTATGCAGGTTACCAACCATGGTCTGTATAGAGCTTGGATACATTGACCCTTTCATAACTTAACCCTAATTTACATAGACAGAAGATATGAAATTGGTGGCAAATGCTTTTAATGTAATGTCAGTTGGTAATCTGCCACAGGTCTGTTCTAATTTCTGAACAGTTAACTATTATGTTTGGAGGGTTTTTTTATGAACATGTAAAACGAGCTCTAGGACTATAAATACAATAGTGATATTAAAATAGCTTCTAACATTCTTAAATATACAACAATTGTTAAGAGCAGGGGATAGGAGAGATGTTATGTTGTGATACAGATATTGAGAATGTTTCTTACAGGTTGTAAGAATGCAAACCACACTGCTATTGTATTTGAGAGTTTTTATCAAAGCATTATTTGGTGGAATATATTTCTACTAGGGCTTATGAACTCCCATAATTAAACATTTTAGGTGAAACGTTAAAGTGTTAACTAAGCTACAGATCATTATGATTCCAGGTCTCCCTCTTTGAATAAAACCTTAGATGTTTGTCAGCTTTAAACAAAAAAATACCACACACACAAGAATGAATTGGTCACAGTAGTCTTTTATTGCAAGCCCAAGACACATCACAGACATAACAAGCATTGGACAAGGAGTCATAGATTCACATTTACAGGTTTTGGTTCTTGATGGCACAAAGACTCAGGGAAGAGGGTGGCAGTGGTACAGTGAAATATTTAACAGATCTGAGTAATCTGATGAATAATGAAACAAATGCTCTTTGTCTCATACACACACACATGCTCTTTGGCACTATGTGTCCTGCCTATACTGCATAATGCAGTTCTGATGTTTTGCTTATGAACCAGGTATAATCCTGGGAGCACTAAGATATATTCCTCTTTTGAGGCCTTCATGCTGAAGAATGAACACAAATACAGCCTTCTTGAAAGGGCCCTGTAGGACACCCAAATCCTTCCAAGTGGGATCTTGGATATCTAAATTTTAGCTGTAATAACAGAGAAAAAAGCACTCCTCTTTTGTTTGCTTCTAAAGCTATGGCAGATGGGAGAGCCCTCCCTCTTATTTTTAAAGATTTAGATTGGTTCCGCTCTCCTGAGGTTGCTGAATTGGAATGATACATATGGATGAGTAAAATGCCACATTTGGACTCTGATTCCTGACTGCCTGTGGTGCAGCTGTCAATGAAGCAGAAGGGCCAGGTGAGGCGTTTCTGGGAATCCACCATTGTTTCCTCTGAATTCCAAAGTGAACTGCTGTGAGTTCTCACTTCAGCAGCAGATCCTACATACAGAGAAAAGATGAAGATAACTCCAAGAATCAACTAATGGACAGATGCAATCACTGAATACTGCAGGGACATTTTCCTCCTATACTTCAGCTGAGATGGATAAGCTTAATGAAGAGAGACAATCTCCGCCATGAATAAACATAAAGCCTTGTATCATTCATCATAGCAGATGGGAAGCCAAAACATCATTTTCAGCAACTTCATAAAGAATGACCCTTTGTGAATAGGTGCACAATTGGATGAGTAAAGCTTCCTATAAGGTGGCCAATTTAATATTTGCAGCTTTGGAAAGTAACAGTCCTGGAAAACAGTCCAGTAATTGACCAAGTTGAAGTAGTCTGTAACAGAGGTGGGTTGCTATTTTTTTACTACTGGTTCGGGTTCACATGCACAGAAGCGTCCGGGTGGGTGGGTGGAGCCTCCCGCCGCTGCTACTACCGGTTCAGCTGAACCGGCAGCAACCCACCTTTGGTCTGTAAAGGGATAACCATAATGTTCAAATTACTATGTAACAGGAGAAATCTGATTTAAAATCTGGTAAGCCAAGAAGTTCCATGGACTTGGTAACAAACTTTTGCCGTAATCAATCTTACAGGAAATACAAGGAAACAGCTATGTAGATTGCTCAAAAACTTCATCATACTTATTCTGTTGTAGAAGACAACAATATTCTACAGAGCAAGGCTAGGGAAGGTACAAGAAGCTATAACCTTGTATTTGATAAGGATAATGCTGTAGGGAATAAGTAGGCAGAAGGCAGTAATCAACCAGAGGTGGATTCAGAGGGTTTCCTGTTAATTGTGGTAACATCTTTATAAAGTTGTCAGAATATCTTGACTTGATATCCATTCAGTACTTGTGGAGCTTTAAAGCCTTGTCTTTCTACAATGCTCAGGGGAGAAGTAATGTTCCAACAGAGAAATGTGTTAAAAGACATTATCAAGACTAAGGAAGAAGCTACATGCAATATTTGCATTTTTAAAAAATCCCCTCCCCCTTGGGAACTTTCTCCTGTCTCCCACTCTTAACCATTTGATGTAATCCACAAAGGATGCACACCTCCCAATGACAGTGAAAAAGCAGTAATAGACAGAAACAGACAAAATTAGCTAGTGAGCTAAGTGATGATTCAGCAAATAATAAGTCACAGCAATGAGAGGAGATGGGCTGGAAAAGGGCACTGTGGGAATCGAGGATGCAGTATTAAGGAATTAGCCAAGTTATGAAGTTAGCCTTGATAAGATACATGGATGTGGGCTGACAAACCATGTTGAGCAAGGACTGAGTGGCTACTTCAAAAAAATGTTCCAAATTGTTAGTCTGAGAAAATGGAGAATTGGAAGATATTATAGGACTAAAAAAAAAATATAAAAAACCAACAGGCTTTACTTTTAACAGCATTTGGCTGTTTTTCAAAGAGGTGGGATATATAGAGCATAGCAAAGATAACCAATTCTCCTGTCGCTTTTTCCCTACGTGCCCTTATCCCCCTGTGTCCTAGGGTATTGAGACCCCCTAGGAAGCAGATTACCTGTGAATTACCCAGCATGCACTGAGATACCCCTCCAGCGATGGCATCACACACAGCATAAAATGGAGGCCTGTGGAACAAGGAAGTGGCAGTTTCTTTAACCTTCGTCTTGCCCTGATTCCCTGTATATGAAGAACCCACAAATCACCTCCCTACCTGAATTTCATACATGCATTTAAAAGAAGAATAAAACATACTGGGCTGTAACGTTGAGCATCCACTTTACTGCTTTTCCCCTTTTCCATGGAGCCTGCAGCATTGCTAGAAGGTAGCAGCTGAGTTACTGAAAGGAACCAAGCACAAAAAAACAGTAAGTTATATCAAAACATATCCTGAAGGAGACTCAGCTGTGACGGAAAAACGTCTGGGAACGAGATCATCAATGTTATCAACAACCTATATGTACAAATGGCATGTTTATCTGGGATATTTCTCATTTGGTAATGCTCCTTAGTAAAATTCTATTTTTGTGTCTACTATTTGGAAGATACCTGGTGATGATTTGATTTGGAATTCCAGGATTTAGAATTTAAATCTTGAGTGGGGAGGAGACGAGCATACTGTATCTTCCCCTTGAGAAAGGGAAGATGAGAAAGAAATTAATTTGATTACGTAACTTTTTAAGGTGAAGTTTTTGAATTTGCGCTGAATGTGTACTCCGAGAGCTACCCTTGGCTGAATGTTGTGACATAGTTCATTGATAAAAATGAACACATTAGAGAAACTCTAAATGTGTATTAAAAAAATTACTAATAAACATGGTACAGAAAAGCCCATTAAAATGCATGTTATCATTTTATTATTCAGAAAAATGGATAGAATTGTTCAAACTTATCCTAAATTGAGGAAAGAAACATATTCCTCAATTGTCTTGTTCATCAAGTACTCCAGAATTTGTCTTCATTGAAAACTATAACCACCACAATATTCCATGTTTTGGTTCTGTCAAATCGTAGCTCACCAATTTGGTCAAAATCTTGAGAGACAATGGATTAATTTGGGGTTTAAAACAAAATATATTTGCCCCTACTTTTACATAACATATAACATCAGGTGGTGGCAATGCCTGACCAGTCTTTTCTTACATTGAATTGTATCTGCTTAGTACTTGGGCTAGATACTGTATCTGTGGAGATTCTCAGTCATCCAGGTCATGGTTGTCCCAAAGATGTTTTTTCAAGAGGCAACTGGACTTTCTGTTTTTTCTTTGAAGACAATCACTTCTCATTTTGAAGACAGCAAAGTCCACATTTTAGACAGAGAGGACCGCTGGTTTGAAAGAGGGATCAAAGAGGCCATCTATATCAAAATTGAATAGTCCTCTCTCAACAGAGGGGGAGAGATATAACATCATTCATCTCTATAACACAGTCTTTTCAAAAGAAGGCGGCTCCACAGCCATTTGCACCACTCATGTAATCCTGATGACACAGATAAACCTCCAGGTGGCTTTAATAACTTGCTAAAAGAATGCAAATGTCCAGCTGTCTGAAAGGAGTATAAATCCTTCCAATCCTCCAGAGCTGAAGAAGTTTCTTGGATGAGAAGTGAAATGTCTTCGAAGAAAAACTAGAAAGTCCAGGTGCCTTTTGAAAAAGCACCTTTGGGACTACTTGGGCTAGAGAATGAATAGTGACCAGTTGGCATTAATCTTCCTCTAAAGTTCCAGCTTGTTTCTTTCCCCTCCCATCAAATATCATGGATTCCTTTTTCTACAGTGAGGTCAGCTAGTATATCTACATGCCAATGTCAATATAGTCAGAAGCCCTGTGAGTATATAAAACCAATTACATGCAGGCCTGATTTCTTGCTAAAAGTATAATTGTTCTTCCCACTTATTTTGGTTTATGAATAAACTGGCTACTTCTCCTAATTTTGTAACCAAGGTGGGTAGTTGTTTGGGAATAATCAAACAAATTGAGGATCTTGGAGAAGTACTGACAGTTATATTTATACTCTTGCCAAGAATACTTTTATTTACATATTAAGTAAAAGTTCCTTTGAGTAAGCTTGATTTTTGATGAGTACATGAATACATTCCATGCTGTTTTCTAGAAATAGCATGGACGTAATTTGTTACTACTTCCAGGAAGTTTTCTCTACAGCCCTAGGAATCTTTGGTGATCTCAGTGGAAAAGTCTAGAAAGGAAACCTAAAAAGTGATTTGTGACAAAGAGATTTTCTATTCATAGAGAAGGAACATGAATGGAGCAATAGAAAGCACCTGATTGAATCTAAAAGAGCCAAGGGGATCAAAAACTCAAGGGGAACATTGGAGAATCATCAAATGGGAAAGTCATCTTTTTTTAAAAGAGACATTGACTTTGTTGCCTAAACATTTGTATAGCTCATTTTGGAGGGAGGAGAGGAGGGAGGAATTTTGAGCTACATAATTAATAGTAATGCAATTTCTGTCTTAAAATTCTGAAAATTTGGTCAAACTAAATGTGAAGTCAACCTAGTTTTATCTTGGCTTCAGAAGCTCATTAGGAGAGTTCTAGGAGAAAATGATCACAGTTTCGACATTCATCTGCTGGAATAGACATCTCTCAGACAAGGGAGTTTCAGCCCATAAACCAGGGTGGTTTAGGGTGGAACATATTTAAATAAATGATTTCATCCAAGATGTTACTATATTCTGAAATTATTTCACAAATGCTGATTGTAATTTGATTGGGTAAGGACTGCACCATCTTTTGTTAACTACCTTTAAGATCCATCTAGATAGATTTCTCTGACATCTTGGACTGACCAGGTTAAGGGCAGGTGTGTGTGTGTGTGTGTGTGTGTGTGTGTGCGCGTGCGCGCGTGCACACATACACAATTTCTGTTCTGTAAGCAGTCTGTCATCTGAACAAATAAAAAGAATCTCCATTAAATTTTACCTGTTAGTACCACCACTGTATCCATTCTAGAAGGTGGTAAAATATATATGAAATTATACTGAAAACTCTACTGGTAAACATGTAACTGATTGACAGTAGGGTCAGAAATTGTAATACTTTAATTACAGTGGTACCTTGGTAGCTTTGAAATTCATCAAATTTGGTACTCAATGCATTTTGATGCAAAAAGTTTGTCCCAGTACTCATTGTTTGGTACTCAACACACAAGCTAGAACTTGTTGGTGTCAGCTGCCTTGTGACTCACTACATTATTCCTTATGGGAATTTTTTTTTGGTACTCACTGTTTTTGATACCAATTAATGGTGAGTACTGAGGTACCACTGTACATGCTTCCAATAATGCATTAGTAATTTACAATGCTTGCCTCCCCTCCCGGTTGATCAACCTTCTGTGGATGTTCAGTCCTTAATGATGCTGTTTTTAGGGTGGGAGGAATAGTCCTTTTCTAAATAAATGTTATGCTCCCCTACACATCTATGCTTTCTTCTTACGTGTGGGTTTTGATTACATTTCTCTCCTTGAGGATCATGAACACAGAAAACTCCTTCTAATCCAGATGGTTCATTACCTACCACTGCTGTGTGAGTCACTTGCTGCTTCTTAAGTTACAGTTTTGTAACAACAAAATGATATAAAAAGTATCTACTCTGCCTAGCAGATCTGCCTTAGAAATGAACTAATTTCAGTGTTTACCTGGTGAGCTGGTACTACTGGGTGTACAGACACTGTCATCTAACCATGCATTCTGAACCAGGGAATCCTGCTTCTGGGGACCTTCAAGAGAACACATTAACTCCTGCACAAGAAAAATGGGAAACAGCTTTAGAGGTCACTTAGTCTGTATCTGGAAGATTGCTTCTATGAAAGGGAGTAATAAAAGATCCCACACTGACCGCTTCATTCTCCTCCTCCTCTGATGTTTCATTCTCTCTGACTCCACTACAACAGCTGCTCACATTAGATGAAGAACGGGACAGGGGCTGCATCACACAATATCCTGATGTCTGATTGGAGAGACCTCTGCTGAAGGAACACAAGCTCCAAAGAATCACTGTCACAATCCTCAAGAGCTATTTGCCCATCCTAAATATTAATCTTCCCTTCTGACAAATATCAGCCTATGTAGCATAGCATAGCAATCTGAATTGCTGCTTCCTAAATCCTCTTACCCACCAGTGGTGGGTTCCTACCGGCGTTCCTACCGCTTTGCTGCATGCGCATGCGCACTTGAAAGAAACTTGCTCAGAAAGCAAGGAAAATAGCTGAGGAGCGGCAATTTAATCTGCCGCCCCTGATCAGCTGGGCTTCAGAAGCTGAAATAAAGGTAAGTATAATCCAGAGGCGGGCGGGCAGGCCCACTTTCAAAGCAACAGAGAACCGGTTCGCTCTCTGCTTGATGGCAGAGTTACCGGTTCAGGAGAACCGGTCCGAACCAGTAGGAACCCACCACTGGTCTTCCCTAATGACACTGGCAGGTGCTATATTTCTTTGTTCTGTGGAAATAATCTCAAGTCATCCCTCCTGCCCATACGATCTTTCATGTTCAACTCACTTGCTCTTCCTGTTAGGGAATTCTGGTGAACTCGGACTGGAGGAACCATCTGACTTGAGATCAAAGAAAGGCCCAGGACTCTCCAATACCTTCTGTATCCTTTCAGCCACATCTTTGCTAGAAAGAAAAGAATAACTTTATTACAGAGGAAAAAGCCCTTCTATGAGGTCTGTAAGATCCGTGACTAATTTTATGGATGCTCCAGAAGTTCTAATCTCCAGAGTAAAGGTTGGTGGTCCTTTCCCAGAACTACTTTTCATAATCTTAGGAAACCCACCCCTCCTTCAAATGTGAAACACAGAACACCAGCTAGTCTGTAACATCCTTCTTGGAACTTGCCAGATTCATTAATCCTTATGGCTGCTAATAAATAATTAAACAATGGGATAAATGGCTAGCTGTAAAACAAAGTATTAATCTCTTGCACCTTTATTTTAATTTCCAAAAGTGTCTGGGCACAGTATGGTTTCTCAAGTAAATGAAAGGCTTTTGCAATTCAGTGTTTGTTCAGAAATGAATCCATTTGACAGGGAAAAGGACAAAGATAAGCAGATCTTATAGGAGGGACCTGGCTTCATGGTGGTAGTGATGGTTGAGGCAAGTGGGAAGTAATGCTCAGATAAATTAGTCCTTTGAAAAGGGCTCAATTTTCATAGCAACCATCAAGTGAATGAATAAGCCTCCCAGCCACCATTTTGCAAAAGCACTTTGAGTATGATAAAATTCTTATCATGCCGACCAGAGCAAAAAAGCACATCTTATTCTTTTCCAAAGTGTTTGAAAACATCTTCATTACAATTACCTTTTCAGTTCATTGTAAAAAAATGTTTTTCAGCTGGGCTGAAAAAAATGTTTTTATGGTGGAGAACAGCACCATTTTTTTAAATGTTTCAGATGACCAGAAGCCATGGGTTCATGGCAGTTATGTCTCAGCCCAGTTTAAGCTTGAAGAAAAATACTCATGGAATCCTGCCCATATTGCATTTTTTGAATTGTAATTAATCAATTTATTTACACAATGCATAATTCAAGTTTGAAGTTTGCTAGCATGAGATGTGATGCTGGCTACCAGCTTGGCTGGCTTAAAAAATAAAAATAGTTGGACTTGGATCCATTCATGAAAGTCATGGGGATCAACAACTATTAGCCTCAAGGGCAATGTTACAGCCTCTGAAAGTCACCTGCTGGAGACTGGCTTCCTTCTGCAGGTAGTTGGCAATAAGAAACATTGCTGGACTAGAGGTCTGATCCAGTAGAACTTTGCTTTGGTCTTTATTCCCATGTTGTTGTAATTCTTCAGCAGTTGTTTTGTGGGTAAGCTAATTATCTCCTTGCTCTGCTGTAGTAGAAGAAGAAAGACTGCAGACACAGTCTTCTGATCTCAAGAGATAGGCTGCAGTGTTGCTGTTTCATATTGATTAAAAGTAAAGCAGCTACAACAGATGCTAAATTTAATTTAAACCAAATATGGCAAGGGAAACTAGTCCCTCTCCTTCAGTAAGTGTTTCTAACTTTCTTTGTAAGAAGAAAACAAGTTCCCTGAATTTTGCACTAAAGCAAGAAGACCCCTTCCAGAAATGTTGTTTGGATCTCCCACCAAACCTAACGTGAGTTGAGTTTTCTTTCACTTTACAAAATATATCATTCTTGACATGTCTGCTAACACTGCAGGTACTAATTTTACTTTGGGTCCTCCTCCTTCTTATTCATCTTGAGCAGTTGCTGGACTTGATCCTAGATTAGTCTAGCAGGAAACTGGATTAATTTGATTCGTTGCGCACCCACCAATGGCACCATGGCTATTGACAAGGGCAGAGGCAAGGAAAGTGTGACAGTGAACCACAATGTCTCTGTTCAACCATAGCCTGCTGGCCTCTGTCTCTTCCTTGGAGGAAGAGGAAACATTTAATCATCCTTCCTCAGTTTAAAACCTTGGGCAATAATACCACTAAAGTAGAACTTGTATGCAAACTTGAACACCAAATTGCAGTATTTTCAATGTAATCACATTTGCAACACTTTAGCATGATTTTGCAAAAACATCCATGTTGCTTTTATGACTGAATACCATTACTTTTAGGAAGTTTTTATTTCTTCTGCTTTCGTTCCATTTTCAGGATAGAAAGAAAGGCATTTTAGGTTTTATTTGTTTTTATTCTGAGGGGCTGAAGGGTGGCATTGCTTCCATAAATTATTTGTATAGTGCAACAAGCTGAAATGTTGGTGAACAGCTTATCAGAGTAATTAATAGAACGGTCCCAAAATAATTACTATTACAGACCATGTTCATCTGGTAATCAGACAAGGAGAAGCAGATAAATTAATTAGAATAGAGTATGGAGCCTGTATAGATCAGGTTCATAATTATTTACAGATACAAGGTTAGTTGTTAATATACTATACAACAGAAATAATAAACAAAGAATATATCATCGTTCAGCTCTTCAAAAATTACTAGCAATGTGCTTGTACATGTATCTGTTTATCTTGATCTGTTTATCAGGCACTCCAGAAATTTAATGGAGTCACAGAGCCTCATCTTGTGTGCTGACTTCCGAGATCCAGCTACCAAATTTAAGTGTAAACAAATCATTTCAGTGGCACAGGTTTGCACTTAGACAAAAAGGCAAAAAAAACCCGGCAGATTAATCCGCTCCACTCTAATGTAGAAACATGACAATGGTCTAAACAATTTGTTTTTGTTATAACACCACAGAGCTGTCATGCCCTCCTTAGCATTCAGGAACCACTTCGATTTTATGATATGTACAGCTCCTAGCTAGAAAACAGTTGTCTAACTTGATCTAAGTCAACAAATGCATTAATGTAATGAGTTTCTTTTAGACCTTTTTTGCTTAATTTGTGGTGCCACAGCATGTCCCAAATCAGCTTGCTAGAATTTCAGAGCATGCTTGTAATTTGCTCAGAAAAACACAGTGAGGTCATTTGTTTAGGCCCAAATTCAAGCAAGAACAGTGCCTCCTCTTCTCTCATTTTTAATCCTCATGTCAACCCTGAAAATTATTCCTTCCTCTCTGTTTCTTTTCCCTTGAATCTTTCTCATCTCTCTTCACATAGGCTCAACCTAGTGTTCTCTTAATCCATTTAAGCTAGATTCTGTAACAAAAAATATGTTCTACGCCCAATTCAGAAGTTTTCAATTGTTCAAGAAACTAAATTCAGAACTGCTATGAAATTGTCCCATGAAAGCACTAAGTTGTTTATTACAGAAATCACAGAACTGTTAGGAAAGTCATCTTGACAGACTCCAGGATGACACATCAGAAACAAAACAGCTGACACACAGATGGAGAAAATGGGGTCAACAGGCTGCATGATAAACAAAGAGGAACACTCCAGTTAGGTTTGATTAGCAAGTAGCTTTGGATACAAGTGGTCTTGGTTCTTGGAATAAAATCAGAGCCCATGAGTCACAACAGTAGATTAAAAGTTACAGCTGAAATTTCTACTCAATGACAAAGAAAATTACCTTTTGAGGGCACTAAGAACCTCTCCTGCCAACAACATACATAGCCATACTAACCCCATCTTTCAAAATCAATGCCCTCCCGATATATGCAGACTGCACATCTCTTACATATTGGTTAAAGGCCATGATAGCTAGGGATTTTGGCAGATGCAGTCGAACCATACCTGAAGGATACAAGGTTAGATTAACACTTGCACCAAACACTATTTCCTCCCTCTGCTCTAGTTCTAGTCCTGCCATTCTTCCCATGGTCCATACCTCTTCTCCTCTTGGATGTTCTCAATGCCAATGGCACTACTACGTCTCCCATTGAAGCGGCTGCCTCGGTTGCGTGATGGGCTTCTCCCAGGCAGGGCAAAGGACTAGTGGAGAGGAAATGATAGAAAGGAGAAAAAAAGAGGAAGGAGGAGGAAAGAAATAGAAAAGCACGAGTTGGAACAGGAGCAAAAGATGGAGAACTAGATTTCCAGATCCCGTCCATACATTTAATGCTAACAGATCAATCTGTCAAACTTAGAAAGCTAAAGAAGCTAATTCAAAAGAGAAAATGTAGAATAAGAAAAGAAAAAGCAATACACTAAAAGCAATAAACTAGTAATTGCAGAGACAACAGTGAGAAATACTTTAGATATATAGAATGATACTGGCGCTGAGACAGTAGAGACAATATAGATTGAAGGAGAAAGAAAAATAAAGGGAAAAAATATACAGAGCCACAGTTTGAACCAAACAAAGCACTAACATTAGTTTCAACTACCATTAAAAATGATGCTCTAATGTCATTCCCTTCCTGAATGTCCAGAAGAACTTCCTCTTTCAAAATAAATGTTCATTATATCACTGATAACAAGCAACACGCATCTTGGACAGAATATCAGTATCTACTTGTCATTCTAGCATTTATTTTCTGTGCATAATTTCTCCAAATGGAGATTCCCTCTCCTGGCTTTCCTTCCAACAAGCAGTTTGGGACCTAGAAATCTACAGCAGTGGTCAGAAAAAAGAATTAATTAGCATCTTGACATGGATTTGTGTAACTATGGATCTCAATGCCATCTTCAGGCTAATAATTAAAACTGTAGTCCCCTAAGAGGAGTGACTCCAACACCCGGGATTCATTGTAAGCAGCAACTTCACATATGTACTCTGCTCCCAGACCTGCAAGTTCAGTGTTGGGAGAAAGGCTTGTCCTTCATTAACAGTGGACTGAGCCATGGCTGAATGGAAGAACATATGAGTTGAATGCAGTAGATCCCAGCCAAAACCTCCCAAGTATATATGTAGTCAAGTCATACTAACTAATAATCCACATATTTTCGAACAATAGTGGCCAAGTCATACTAACTAATAATTCACATATTTTCGAACAATAGTGGCCAAGTCAGACTAACTAATAATCCACATATTTTCTAACAATAGTGGCCAAGTCAGACTAACTAATAATCCACATATTTTCTAACAATAGTGGCCAAGTCATACTAACTAATAATCCACATATTTTCTAACAATAGTGACAAATCCATCCTAATTGCCCAGACTGTCTATAGGAAGGTTTTCTCCACATGCTTTCCATGCCTGTTAAACCAGAAATGTTCACTTGCATGCACTAGTTCAGTGCAGCAGGTTTAATGCCTAGTGAAAACTACTCCTATTTCCTTCATTTGAGGCTGTCAGATAATCATGAAACAGGCTTTATTTGCTATATCCCCTATCAAATTATCCTTAATAAGTGCACGCGAAATTAAAGATTGAGAAAACTGCCAAAACTGAGAACAGGGGAAATACTCTTTTTCTTTTTTTTAGAATTTCAGTATCATAGCATTGTCTACTTCGGTCCTTCCCAACTTGTACCTAACTTGGCATACACATGCCCTGCAATCTCCTTAATTTCTGGTATGCCCCTGCAATATGGCCAGTCAGGAACATGGTGAAATTGGTTGGCAATGAGAGAAAAGAGGGACCATGCAAGGAAAATTGGGATGGGTATGAGGGATATTAAATTTCATGCTGGCATGGATTTTTGTTAATGGGAGGAAAACACTTCAATTCAGCACCGAGGAAAGGTCTTTAGATGAATTGGATGGAGAATTGAAAACATAATGTTTTTGATAGACTTGGTTTTACAAGGAAGTGCCATGAAGTCACAGGAGATTAACATGAAATAATCCCAAAGAGTTCTACCTGGGTTTACACAATTGTCTGCAAGAAATCACTTAGCTTGGTTATCTGGGGTTTTCAAGATGCCACTGATAAGCTCCTTCATTTAAACATATCGTTGCTTACTAATTAAGCTTTGTTACTGAAGCGTCAAGGGACATTTTTAATTTTTTCCCCAGAGATAAAATGGCTAGGATGATCCATATTCTGATAACCATCATTTTTTCCAGAAAATGCATATGACAACCTACTATCATGTACGAAGCCTTTTACAAATACAGTTTCAAAGTTACAGTGCTTTTCTTGCTCATCTTGAGCCTTGGTTGAATTTCTCCCAACAATCATCTTTTTTGCACCAAGATCTTTCCCCAAAGCCCTCCTCTAATGCCACTGGCATGTGAGGCCGGTGGGAAGCAATATTTTGGTGTTAGTATAAAAGCTTGTATTTTTTAAGCCTTTGAAATATCTGGTGTATTTGTGACAGTACAACTTTTTTGACTTTTACCTTAGATTATCTCCCTATTTTAAAGTTCTCCCATTATACCACTTCTCACGTTAATGGAGTTGGGTTCCAAACACAGAGGACTATGATTGACAAATGAACACAGAGACATGAAAACAAATCCATATAGACATCTGGGCTATTTTTACAGAGTTACAGCTATCAGCAAAGAGCATTGACAAGCAGCATATCTAGAGAAAAATGGGGAAGAAGGGGGCTGAAGGCATGCTTATTAGCTTCCCCAGTCCCTACCCCATAAAACCTTACCGCAGCAATAGCCTTGGGACCCTCGGCGACACTTTGGTTGAGGGCAAGGCCTGCAGTAGCTGGGCGGCTGGGTAGAGTTGCTGGGGGCTGCTGCTGCTTCTTCATGGCTATCCCCATAGTGTCCAGGCTCTGGCTACGGCCTCGGATCACCCGCTGGAGAGAAGGGCAACAGGGAAACAGACACAGAGACATTGACATACACACACAAGGAAAGCACGGAGAGTAGCAGAGATGCTGGTGGATAAGAACTGGGAGGCAAAGAATACTAACCCTGAACTTCCTCTCACTATTGGATCTTAAGCAGAGAAAGTATCCTCCCCACCCAATATCCAAGTGGACAGAAGAATCTTCCCAAGCAATTCAAAGCTACAGTCTTCATTAAGGACCCAGATTGTTGGGGGCAATATGCTGACTCTCTGTAAACCGCTTAGAGAGGCCTGAAAGGCCTATGAAGCGGTATATAAGTCTACTGCTATTGCTATTAAGAACTTTGTTGCTTTCCTCTAAGTCAGGGGTCTCCAACCTTGGCAACTTTAAGCCTGGCGGACTTCAACTTCAAGCTTTGCTATCTGGGGAATTCTAGGATTTGAAGTCTGCCAGGCTTAAAGTTGCCAAGGTTGGAGACCCCTGCTCTAAGTGATACTGGACAACTATAATAATGATTCTCTAGGTTAACTCTTTCCTCTATTATATGAATCTTGAAGACACAAACTGGGACACCAAATCTACATTATAGTACTGAAAATAAGATGTTATCTCAAAAGAAATATGAATTCATTTTCTAGCTTTTATGGATAGTTCTCTCCAGGCTGGTCAGCTCAGCCCATAGAACAAGCAGCACTGTATAATGAACTATTATCCAGAAAGAAAAACAGAGGAGTCACATATCCTGAATGAAAGCATCAATTACTCCTTCTCATGCTCTGAATGGAGGTTCCTCCCCACTCACCCTGGCATTTCATGTCAAATTTAACTATCCTGAAGATAATATTTATCCTGAAAGTTCTTATCTAAAAACGTCATCAATAAAAATTAAATCTTTTTTAAGGTAGTATTTCCACTACAATTACTGAAAAAATAATTATAAAATTAATTTAATAAAGTAAAATGATGGTATATTGAATTATAAACCACGTTCCCCGTGATTTTCTTTTAATGGCATACAAGAATAAAAGAGGTACTAACTTTCATTGTGTTGGCAGCAGTTTTACATATAACTACATCTTTTATCTTTCACTTTTTACTTCTGTAGGAAATGTATTTCTTTCAGCTATTCAACTGCTGTTCTATAAAAATTATATCATATCAGGCAGCACTGCTTTCAGCTTATGTTGAAACGTCTTTCCTCTGTCCTTCAATTTTTGTAATATTGACAGTGATAGTACTGATGTTATTACCTAGTTTCGGTAATAAAACATCTGCAAGAAAACAACCAAGCTCAGAGAGCCCCAAGGACCCCCTCATTTCAACCCTGAGCTACAACTATTCTTCTGTATCAAGACCATGATCTATTTCGGCTTTGAGCCTATCCTACCCTCCAGGGAAGGGTTGCTGCCGGTTTTACTTCCCAACCCGTGTGCAACCCGCATGTGTGAGCGAACAATTTACATTGAACTGCGCATGCGCAGTCATTAAAAACCAAAATGGCAACGGCCCAGCAGTGGCAAGGAAATCGGTTGAGGGGCATGGCAGGCCTGGGTCACTGCCAGTTTTGCGACCCAGCCCTGAATTCCACTACCAGTTCGCCCGAACCAGGCCGAACCAGGAGCAACCCACTTCTGCCGCCCTCCCACATTCCTTCCTCTAACCCATGTCCAGGTGATATGTTTTATATCTGTGTACTGCTCAAGCACAAACCAAGTTAAAGAATTAGAAATCCCATGTTCTATGTAATTTGACCTTTCCTTAAAATGTTTCCAGGAAGTCAACTAGAAGTTGAAGTCTTCCCAATACCAACCAGCACATCCTGGGGAACGTCCAATCTATGAACTATTCTAAGATCATATCAAAATTCAGATATTTGGCAACTGACTCATATTTATAACAATTGCAGGTCATGTGGTCACCTTTTGCAACCTTCTGACAAGCAAAGTCAATGGTGAACCGAGATTCACTTAACTACTGTGTTACTAACTTAGCAACTGCAGTGATTCACTTAACAACTGTGGCAAGAAAGATTGTAAAATGGGGCAAGCTTCACTTAAAAACTGTCTCACTTAGCAATAGAAATTTGGGACTCAATTGTGGTCATAAATTGAAGACTACTCGCATAGATAGTATGTTCTCAGTATAAAATGCATAACAATTTTCTCTGTGATGGTGCACACAGAGCAAAAAACAACAACAATATAATATTATTTGTAATTTGTAGACTGAGATCCTTCAAATCCTTGGTCTGATTTACACATAAAATACCAACGAGTATGCATTTTTGTGCCACTACAGACTGGAGTTGGATTCCCTTTTCTAGTCCCCAGATTTACTTCACTCAAATATACAACATATAATTGATCCTGGCTATTGCTACCATAGATGTGGAAAGCAGTACCCTGTGAAACACAAAACCACCTTTCAAACACAGGCATGTGGGGGAACGACAAGCAGAGGTGAGGAAACCTGGGCCATGATACCACCTCTCTCCTTATGTATTTTTATACAACACAGTGATGCTACTATGAAAGGGCAGTTCTTATGCTGTGATATCACAACACACATTTCAGCATTTTTAGAATTAGCATCATGATTAGGCCTCCAGATTTCCAACATTATTTCTCCAATTTTTCATTCCCATTCTTCTCCACTGTATTGTAATGAGAGTAGGGGATGCAAGACTACATAACTGGACAGAAAGAAAACATGTTTGAGAATTTATACATTGTTTCTATGCTTTAATAATTTATTGTACACCACCCAGAGTCCATCTGTGAGGGAGATGGGCAGTTCCAAATTAAATAAAATTTAACAAATTTTCCCTGGAATGTAAAATGTGTTATATTTCAAGTATAAATGATCGAATCCACGTTCCCTTCCACATAGTGATCAAATGTACTTTCCCTTCCAGCTAATGTACAGATGCAGATACATAGAAACCAAAATGCCAGGTGGGAGTCACATTACAGGTATTACAATTTGTCCTCCAAGCATGAAGTGGCCTTATTTTCCAATAAAAATGAATAAATGAGCCTAGTACCTAACAGACTGAGTTCTGAGATGGGAAATTATGTGGCTTACTTCTCAGCTTTGAAAAACAAAACCCCTCCCCAACATAATATGAACTTACAGTTGCAGGTCTACCTATTGCAATATTTTAAGTGGCCAGGTGTGCCTTTGCACAACTTCATATTGTGCACCAACTGGGTCCATTCTTGGAGCATGAGGCTCTGTTCACTGTCACTTATGTTGGCTGCCAGTACTTCTGAGTGCAATTCAAGGTGCCGATAAAGACTTTTAAAATTAGGGAGTACCCTCTGGTGGGGCTAGGAATAGAGCATTTTCTTTTCCGGCAACTTTTGCTTGGAACCTCCTTTCCACAAGATTAAATTGTCCCTGCCTCTGTTGGCCTTTTGCATGGCTTTAAAGACATGGTTTTGTCACTGGGCCTGGGGATCTGTGTGTAGGTCCAAGCAATACCTGTGTTGTAGCTTCCCCGTCCCACCTTGGCTGCAGATGGTGTATGCTGTTGTTTCTTTATTGGTACTAGCCAGAGCAGCATCAAGTTATAAACATGGAAGGACATTGAGAAATTCAGCATTTACACCATCTCTCACCTTGAAATTCTCAAAGAAGCCACCACCACCATTCTCTATTTTGTCCTCTTCTCCTGAGGCCAGGCCCATCATACTGCGGCTACGAATCTGCAGTTCTTCAAAAAGGCTCTCCAAAAGTGCACTGCGGGTGCGATCCTGCGACAGGAAGAGAGAAACAAAGAGAAGCACTGTTGTCAAAGATTTCAAGTGCATGTGCAAAAGGGAAAGAGGCAAAATAGAAGGCCATTTCATGTCTGGATGGGTTACATAATCTGTTGAGTCATAGTTCTGAGCTTACATCCTCCAGTGTCAAGATGTTGCATTCAGTTCAAAAGTCCCTTATTTATTTACTGAAATATATGTTAATTCTGTTTTTCATTTAAAAAGGGCCAACACTAGAAAGTTAGAAACAAATAAGCAGTGGGATGCTTATGTCTGTCTGTCCGACTCTACTTCTAAAAAGGAAGAGTAAATAGGAAGTTTGCAGGTAGACATGGGTTATGCTAAAAAAGAAACCTAGGCAGGCATTTTGAGAGAACATCCAGGTATGCTTTCACAATTCCAAATTCCAAATCAAAGAGACTGCCTTAGGAACTATTTCATAAAAGCCTGTATGAAAACTAATATTTAATATCAAGTCTTATAATCTAGATTCCTCTTCAGAGATTCAGCAAGAGAGCTTCTGGGAAAGGAATGTCTCCATGATGATGGTATAGAATGTCTCCTAGTTGAAATCTGCCGGAAAAAGATGACCTGTATCTTGACAAGTTGATGGTAATTACTAGTTTGAGGTGTAAAATAATTTATTCTTGTTGCCAGTAAGTTCAGGCTTTCCTTTATTTTTTGTTGTTGTTTTTACTCTCCTTTTACACATGACACCAGAGTCAGCAAAAATAATATGTTATTGAAAAGCTTTTTTTCTGGATGCTTTCACCCGACGTCCCAAGTAAGAGTCAGAATGCATCTGCCAAAAACATCATACAAATACAACCATCCACTTCCTTTTAAAAATAGTTATTCTGAACATTCCTTAAAGAAGCTTACCATATTATTAACCAGCTAGTTTTTAGGCCCCTAGGTAATAGACCCCAAAGTGGGCAAATCAGAAAGCACCAGATTGCAGATGAATTTCTTAAAATGAAAATAAGAACATTTTCATTTTGGATATGCTGAAGTTTTGTGATTTCTTAATTTTATGAATTCAGTAGTTTAAACTGGGTCACTTAGTAGGGAAAAAAGTAATGGAAATAACTGTAATCAGTTACACCTTTATTTCTGAAAGCTCTATGCCTGTACAGCTAAACTAGTAAGAATAACAAATTAAATATCTTACTGGACAGAGTTCATACAAATCAACTGCTAATAGCATTCAAGCACATTTGCATGGACTGAATTGTACAAGGATTTCAGGAAAACCTGTAACCACCCACTTCCAAGAACAGCCAATCTCTGATCCAGCTTCATCCAAATGCTTGTTTATTGATGATTGTTACTATAAGATGTTAAATGGCAAAAACAGCATGCCATTGGATTATGTCCTTATTTGAGAATTTGTCCTTTTCTTAAGGGAAATGTTTATTTTAAAAGGGCATCAAATTCTTTTCATTCATTCCCAACTCTTAGGAATCTTAAATGTAATTTTAACATTGGGAGAAATTTTCTGAAGCTGATATTTCAGCAATTTATATACATTGCTAATTATGCATTTTCATTTCATATATTTTGTTTCGTACAGATATTTGCTTGAAAAGTTATTAATAGAAATGTAACCAAACTTACTTCCAACTTGGCAAATTTCTCAGCATGGTAACAGCTATACTCTGCATTGATAAGCTTTGCCAGAAGAAATTCACGGAACTCTGTGCCCTATGGGGAGGAAAAAAGGGAGACTCCTCCATCATGTTGGACATTCCGTAGCATCCTCTCTCACTTTAATCAATGAGAGCTACAACCATTCTGGTTTAAGAATGGAGGGTTTGGGAATGCTTTTTTTAGCAAGCCAAACTAACATGGACTCTATGGAAATACAAGAACCCAGAAGGATGTCTTAAGAATATGATTCCATTCACAGTGTAAAGTCGCTCTCTCCCACAACAATGTACATGATTCTCATAGGGGAAAAAATTATCTTCTATATAAAAAGAGTGTGAGCTTTTCTTAAGACAGTCAAGTGTCTGACCTGGATTGTATGACCTTTTCTGTGTTGGTTATTAAACAGTCAGTTCACTATGGGATTGTTTGTTTGTTTTTTTTGCCAAAAATCAGAAGTAAATGCCACTTTTCCGTAAAACATCGTAAAATGTGGTCATATGACTATGGAACATTGCAAATAGTCATAAATATGGGAAAGTTGCCAAGAAATGCAGTCATAGGACTTGGGAGAGTGGTTGTTGGAACTTTAGAATTGGGTTGTAAATACTTCTGAGAGATCCATCATAACTTTGAACAGTAGCTTAATGACCAGCCATAAGTCAAGTACTACCTGTTAAGATTCAAGAGATTTACCTAACCGAGGCTTCACTGAAGAATCTCAATTGATCCTGTGGGTTCTGGCTGGCGTTACTGCCGGTTTGCTTGTGGGTGTGCTTTGCGCAGAACTAAAAAAAAAAAGATGGCAGCGGTAACGGGGATGACCGGGGAACCGGTTCGGTGGCATGGCCAGCCTGGGTCGCTGGCCATTTCTGCAACCCAGGCCAACATACCACTACCGGTTCGGTTGAACCCGGCTGAATCAGTAGGAACCCACCTCTGGGCCTCAGGATATATTGAGAACTGTGACATGAATGAGCATTAATAGAACATGAATTCAGTCAATGCTCTCTCTGTTCACTATCAGATATCTTTCAAGCAGTTGAACCAGAGGTGGTATTCAGCAGGTTCTGACCAGTTTTGTAGAAACAGTAGCGGAAATTTTGAGTAGTTTGGAGAACCTGTAAATACCATCTCTGACTGGTCCTGGCCCCATCTATCCTCTGCTTCCTGAGTCCCAGCTGATCGGGAGGAAATGGGGATTTTGCAGTAACCTTCTCCTGCCATGCCCAGCAAGTCATGCCATGCCCAGCAAGCCACATCCACAGAACCGGTAGTAAAATTTTTGAATCACACCTATGACCTAGGAACAGCAAACACAAATCTATAAAAATCTCCCTGCACCTGTTTGCCTAGTCCTTAACTGCCACAAAGTCTAAAGCTTTGCAGGTGGAATTTGCTCTGTGCTTCACTGTTGGATATAGACTGAAACACTCCCCAAATATGAAAAACTAAGCTTCAGATTTGCCCAGCTGGGTCTAAAAAATAGAAAACCAAGATTTGTTTGTAAAATTAACTGCATGATGCTGTTGCTCTTGTTGCTAACTGGTTCACTGTTTGACAATGTGAAATGAACTGCAATAATTGCCTC